CTAGCCCCCCCCCCCCTACTAAAAAAAAAAAAAAAAAGCATTTGTATTTTGGCCCATGTTGCCCAGGGGTTGTCAGGCTTCTTCACTCAATCCAAAAATAAAAAAATAAAAAAAATGTTGGCGTCACTTACACTTTATTAAAACACAGGATTTCTGAATAAAAGGATCACAGGAGTCAATGCACAGCCATTTTACTAAAGAAATATCTCAGATAAATATTAGTACATCATTAGAGACCATTTATCTTGTTGTTACCTCAAAGTCTTTAACAACTCCAGCAAATGCAGAATTCTTCTTGCACTGCTCATCTAGTAATGCTACATTCGGATCAAATTCACGAATGTATGTGGAATACATCTTGAGGTATGGACCCTTCTTGACAAAAATATCGGCAATCTTCTGGTGCTCATTCCTATAAGCCGATCATGATTTTGACAAGACAAAAAAAAAAGAGTATAGTCAGTAAAGCTGCTTGGTAGCACTGAGGTAATACACAAAGTTTGTGCGTTCCTTAATAAATCGAACTAGTGTCTTTGCCTATGCAGGGAAAAGCAACATGTTTAGGGCTTGTTCACACTATGTGCAGTGGCTTGTGTCTTCCCACACTGGACCAATGCGAATCACCAGTATGGCACTCAGGAAGCAATTGTTTTCTATGTGCCCTGTCCACACGTGAGCTGTGGTGGGCTGCGGTAAAAGCACACAATATTACAATTTTCCACATCACACTAGATGCCGGAGGTCGCCACAGCACAACGTGAAGTGCTGCCATGTGTAGCACCAGGAGTACACTCCATATAAAGTTAAGATAAGTATAAAGTAAACAGAAACATGAGTTCTAACAATGCAAGACACAGCAGATCACTGCTGCCACTTACCACACACTGGCTGCACGGTAAAACATTGCTTTTTTACCATTCAGCTGGTGTGAACAAGCCCTTACTGTGAGCCCCAGTGGGTTGCACACAAATACTGCTGGGAGCAACTTGGAGCTTACACATCCCTCCATATTAAAAAATACTGCCGGACAATTAACATGCACAAGCGATGACATGTAGGAGGAAGGGTAGTGACTCACATACTCCTCCTTGCCCAGTTTAGCTGCTGGGAGCGAATGTAAATACCTAATACTTCTGGCTAATAGGTACGCTAAAAAGAAAGTGATTATATGTTGCTGGTGTGGCTGCCATAAAAGAGAACCTTTTGCTATAAACTGCATGGACAAATTACAACTTTACTTTGAGGTGCTAAGGTAGGTAATTGTTTGCCCAATCTAGCGTGTATCTGTCTCTCTTTCAACCCGTCTATATTATCTAATGTTGGACAAGGTGCGGATGTGAAGAATGCAGTATCTAAAAAGGACTGTGAAATAAGTTATTGCTATAAAAGTAAAAAATAAAATGCTGATTAGTTATTCTGAATCCTATGACAGGACTCATGTGAAAATGCGTACAGTGTAAAGATCAGATATTAGGATTCTGCACACAGGAGATACACAGTACCATTGAGACATCCTCTCCTGTAGTTCCCGTAGTACGTCACGGTTGAGTTCATACAGCTGTGGCAGGTAGTACAGGATTTGATTCAGGATCCTGTCCTCAATCACTGGCTTCCCGAGGTTCTTGGACGCTTGAGCCACAGCATAGCGGAAATCCTGCCAAAGTAGGGATAATGAAAGTTGCCTGATCATAATCACTTCCTCTACATGGAAAACAGTGCAAGCTAAGCATTAACAGAACAGTGTGTGCACTTTCTATATGAAATAGTAAAGATCACCACTACAGTATCAACCCTCTTGTTCTGAATACAGTAATTGCTATGTATATAGGTCAACATTAACGGAAAACTGTATGCTGGGATAAAAGTTAACTGAAAAAGCACCCGACTGCAAAATTAGTGGAATCATCCTTCAATGTCTTTTCTTTCTTGGGGACTGAGTTGCTATGCCTGATCCTAACTAAAAGCTTTACGTACTTTTGCTGAAGCACCTTTTACCTCCATTATAGTACTGTAGCATACAAAATTTATGAAAACAAAGGCTAAATGTTTAAAGTACACATGCTGTGAGGGAAACATGGGGGCTGCTATAGCGGAAGCTAAGACTTCAATGGAAAAGTGACACAACTCACCCCTATGTGCCTTGAGTACCACTCTCGATGTACGGATAAAATCTTATCTAGAGTTGTCACAGTGAAAGAATGGTAATGACCAGAACACAAAGTCCTTTCAAAAGTATTAACGGTACAGTAAGTGGAATAAGCATTGATACTTTTAGAAGAATATAATTTGCTGGCCATTACAATTTGTTCACCATGACTTCAATACCTCCTGAGTCACTGACCCAAAACAAGAATGAGTATCAGGCATTCTAACTTCATCTGCTGCATACTTGTTTTGGTCAGTGACTCAAGAAGTACTGAAGCCATCTAAAAGCTTGATTTATGTTTACCCATCTTCAGCTATGATTAGAATCTTAAAAATCTTAAAACTCACATAATACTCAGCAAAACAGTGGTATTCATCACTACTGTTTGTTCCATGTAGAGTTAATTTAATCTTAGCAAATCCAAAGACAGTTTACTCTAGAAGTGCATGCGTACGAGTGATCTCAGAGATTTAAGTAAATCCCCCATGCCAGAGCTTGATACACACTATTTACATTAAGCAAAGTGCCTCCCTGTCTTTAAATGGATACCAACTATGCAGGATTCTATAAGTAACATAAACAAAACCCAAAGATGTTCATATCAGAGGAATTGCACCATGAAAAAAATACTTCAAGTGGGAGACTGGATTCTTTAAACAGAACTGAGCACCAACATTTTTGTAGGCTAAAAAGCAATATGTAAGATATTGCTCATGGCAACCAGGCCCATCTCATCTTGCTCATCAGTAAATTAAAAGCATGATTGGATTGCTATGGATTCTTGCACATCACCATTGCTCTGTCACTGCTTTATTAAATAAGACTCGCTTGAAGGATGCATTTTAGGAATACATGTTGCCTCTTCATACAGATTTACAGTGATCATTCTGTAAGCTATTAATCTTAAAAATGCATTCAAGAACCCTAAACAAAAATATATCTAATTTGTGCTTCACTCAGCTGAAGATCCTCAAATCATCTCTGAATTGGTGCTGACACTGTCCTTCCTTCTGGAGGGTGGCTACTTTTGTTCACCATGGTCCCTGTGTGTGTTGTAAAGTAGATACCGTTCCAAGCTTGCTCCCGTGATGGACTATAATCTCAATACAAATTAGTAAACTAAAAGAGATTTTAGTGCATCACGGGAGTGAGCTTGGAGTGGTGGCTACTTTACAACACACACAGGTACCTCAGAGAACAAAAGTAACCACCCTCCAGAAGAAAGGACAGTGTCAGCATGAATTCAGAGATGATTTGAGGATCTACAGCTGAGTGATACACAAATAAGATACATTTTTGTTAATAGTCAGGGCACGTAAATGCATTTTTAACACCCAAGTTTAGGGTCACATTAAAAATCACCCACTGTCCATCATTCAGTAAAATCTTTGTGAGCCTAGTCAGCTCACAGCTCAGTACACTCCAAAGACATGCTGGTAGGTTAATTGGCTCCTGTCTAAATTAGTCCTAGTTTGTGTATATTTGCATGTGAGATAGGGACCAGCAAGTGTAAGCTCCTTGAGGGCAGGGACTGATGTGAATGTGAGTGCTATACCTGTAATAATAATACTACGAGTAACAAAAATCCCTTTTTCTCTTTCATTCGATGGAGGACACATCTCTGCTTTAGATCAGTCAGTGAAGTCAAAAGGGCAGCCACGGAGACTGCACCTTTAAATAGTTTGGTACACTGAAAGCGGGTCCAGCAAAAAAAAAAAACCTGTGTGAAACCTGTTATATTTTGTAAAGAAAGGAAGATAATCTCCTCTTTTCCATACGTGTAATAAGTAAATGATGGTTCGATGGCTATACAGTTTTGGTATATGAATCCAGCCCTGAAGGCTGAAGCTGCAAACTCTATGGCTGCAAGACTATTTGAATATATTGTCAACAGCTTGTATGTAATTTTACATCCTTGACAGATTCTGGGGAGCTCATGCATGGTTCCCTATGGATCTGCACATTTCGCATACTTTACCTGAAACTCAACAATGGAAAACTTGTGTGGACAAGTTTTCTGTTATGTTTTTCCACACAGCACAGTTACAACACGTGATCACCTTAACTTCAAGTGAGACTCTTCTAACTAAGCCAATTCAAACATGTTGGCTTTTTAATCAGGTGGGTTTGTTGGTTTAAGTTAAACCTTGCAGGCTTATTCCTTGAAGAGTATACACTTATTGAATGTGTAAGCCATGCATTCTGTGCTTGGCTTATGATCCATTTACAAAATGTTCATTTACTACAGCAGATGTTCTCATCAATCACCATTACACTTTTCCAGCGCTTTGTAGTCTTATAACTCAACCAAAGTCAATAATGTAACCTGACTCCGGAACCTAACTACCAATTAAATTGACTTCAGCCTCTGAGCAGTAGACTGTGGCACAAACATGATCCACTAATAGGAAATTTACACCAGAGAACGCAAACCAGACTACCATACCATACAGAAAATATTACCAAATGAAAGCAATCCCACGTACTTTCGTACTTACGCAGTTTAAAAACTTGCATCAGAAAAATAATCCCAACTACATAGTTCTCATAGAAAAGTACTCTTAGTGAATACATAATGCATACATAATACTAATATCAAATGTATATACAGTAGAGTACCCATGTCCTCAATTCTTTATTGTTTACTCTTCATGAACACCAACATCCCTTAAATTACATAATTATTTCAAAGACATTAATTTGGATTTTTTAGGCATCATCAATAAGACCACATACACATAGATTTACAATTCTCTAAAATAATCAAGTATATCTACAAATATGTATAAAAATTCACAAACGACTGCGCCAAACACATGCAACAAAGCACTCATCCCCCTCCAGAAACAGCAGGGGGATGAGTGCCCCCTTGCATGTGTTTGCAACAGTAAGACTTGGATTTGTGCGTTCCCTCCAAGTGCTTAAAATATATAGATGATGATAAATATATGTTGACTGATATACAATGTTTTTGTATATTGGCTCTAATATTTTCTGTTCTCGTCATATTAATGTTCTAGGAGGAAATATATATCTTGATATGGTCTGAAGAAGCAGACTAGGATCTGCGAAATGTGCAACCATTAAATGTACTCCCCACTAGCTACACCTATTGATTTTTTGTATCTAGAATTAGACTCCATATCTGCAGCAATTATATGGTATAAAGTGCCTGTATCTGATATGTGGGTTTGTAAGTACATATTGGGAGGAGATATTTTGTAAACAAAGGAAACCGTTTAGTTCCTAAGAGATGTCTTAATTGTTTGTGTCGTTTGTGAATCTTTATACAAATTTACATAAAACTCCATTATTTTAGTGAATTGTAAATCTATGTGCATATGGTCTTATTGACGACACCTAAAAAAAAAGCCAATTAAATAAAATCAAAATAATTCTGTATGTAATATTGAATATAGTAAAAGGATTTCAATAAGTTAATAAATGAGAAATCAACAAACAAAAATATGAATGGGAGGGAACTATAATAACAGCACCAAGGCCTTCTCCCTTAACCACATATGTGAGCCTCATCCCGTTATAGGCTGTCATCCTGCATTCCAGTCCTAGCATGCTATCTCAGTGACTTCTTGTACAGCCAAACACTTTCCCACCATAGTACCATGAAAATGTAATGGCTGGAAGAGACAGCGGCATCATCACTTTGATAATAAACACATACAGTATAACATTCCTGATCCCCCAACCATTTTACCCATTCCCAATCATCCAACCGCAGAGCAGATGATTAAATAATATTCACAATGAACCTGTCTAAGCATAGATGCAACAACTGCATAGTGTGAGGAATGGAAGGTGCATTACTGTGCTTAGAGATTATTATCCATGCTGGATTGTAACCTATACTGTACAAGAAAGTTTAGGGATCGTGCTCATTTTCTGGGGCAATTCATAGAAATAGGGATAGTGAAATCTACAACAGAGATGATGAGTTTTGTTTTTTTAATTGGAAACGGGATCGACATCTATAATGGAGCACCTCAACTGTTCTATATATGAGGCAATCACTTACTGGGTTTGGAAGCTGTAAGAAGGTTTTAGTAAATACAGGATTTCAAGCAAATCGATTTATAATTACCAACAGGAGAACCTTTATAGATACTAATCAAAAGCGTCACATCACATACAAACCCTACTCGATGCTAAAATACATTGCAAATACATAATTATTTAAATACACCGAGAGATTCACATATTGCTCAAAATTTCTGATTCTGTTAGAATTGTTCTGTTGCTTATTTTTTGCTCTAGGAAATATTTTTGACATTATGACCTATATTTCAGCTACAGATTTTTATATGAAAACAGAAATGTAGATGTGGTGCTATGACTGAAAATTACAAGTCCATTTCCTTGTCTCAGCTTGCCTCTGTTGGTCTGCACTCTTGTCAGGAGCATGCAGAAAACCCTCTCTTCCATAGCAGAGACTTTCCTTAAAACTAAAACACACTTTTCATTAAAAGTCTTCGATCAGATTTTCTATTTGGGTTTTTTTTGGTAGGAGAAATCTTTAAAAAAGTATTCTTCAAATTTTATTTTTATTTTGTGTTTGGGGGGGGGG